GAACAATGCTTGCATGGGTTAAGGTCATGTCGAAGAAAAATTAGGCTGGATTTTAATCAAGTCTTGGCTTACAGAACCCGCGCCTTGTCGCGCCCGCTTCGAATATACCTCAGCTTTGCACTCATGCGACAAGGTCGGAGCAAATAAAAATACAGTGAAACAAAAGTCTTTCAATTTGAATGATATGCTGGACAATTCATGTAAGGGTTATTCGTATAACAATCAGAGCACCTCTTCTGATTTTCTGTGAATCAATGCATTTGGAATTATTAAAACTGATTAACGGACTATCTGCGAAATACACCACAATTAATTTCTCTTCAAAGCGTAGTTAATCCAGGAGACAAGATTTTGTCACATGTTTCCTCTAAAAGTCAATATCAAGGCACATCCAAAAGCATTGCAAAGCAAAGTTCGAAGACCTAGCACACCTCTTGGTATAAAAAGCCGATTTCCACAAGTTAGACGAGTTTCTGTCACCATTGACACTCGTTGTCGACTCCGGGCAGATAAGAAACGAGGGCTTTAAAACAGCGTATAATTTTCGGAAAGACATCTATGATGGAAGCTAAGAAGTACTCAAGGAAACGAACTACTGAGGGGAACCTAAATTTTCTCTTGAAGTTCTCTTTACAATTTTCCAATAAATTTACCTTGCTTTAGTAGATAATAGGCAGTGGCGTTCCCAAAACTGGACTAGGAGGACCGAGCAAAGTGGAACAATGTGCCCTGAACATCTTAATAGACAGGCCAGTTGCTCAGAATCAGTAACTTTTCTCGGTGTATGCTGGGAGCATTGCGTAATATACGACAGTGGTTTATAGGGCTCCCAGCATACTACTATTAAAAGTCTAGATAAATATTTCGTCGATGTTTTTGCTACTGAATAACGGAAATGCAAAATGTTCTGTTCCTCATTGTGTCCCCCTCATCGCTTAAAAGTTAAAATTGCAAGTGACAGAGGGTCTTTTCATGGCAGATTATTGGGTATTCGCAAATTACAAGAAAGTATCAACGCGTTA